CTTTCGTCACAACGGGTCGGGCTAATTCACGCCGAACGCTACTGGTTGCTCCATTCCGCCGATCGATCTCTTCCTCCAATTTTTCATCACTAGTAAATACAATTCAGACGTACTTGAACTTTTCGACCTGCTCCACTGCCTCTCCATTAATATGAAGAGAGCGACGGGGCGGCGGGCAGGGGAACGAGAAAGCACTAGGCTTTTCGTTTTAGATGCGTTCACACGTATGCCGGTTACGTTGCACTCAGCTGCGAACCTTTCTAAGGAGCACTGGAGATCAATTTCAGAAGATGCTAATAAAGCAAGGTCGTCTGCAAACAGCAGCCTTCTCGACCTCACATCTCTTACACTGATACTCTCATCGCCTTGGCAGCTCCTGACTATTCTACCCATGTACAACACAAACAGGATAGAGGACAGGACGCAGCCTTGGCGGAGACCAGTGCGAACACTGAATGGTTTTGACTTAACGCCGTTACCTCTGACGCAGCACCTGCTACCAGAATACAGTGATTGGATGGCCCTTAGCAGCTGGCCATCTATCCCGTATGCTCGAAGGCATGACCACAGACTGTTGCGTGATATCCGGTCATACGCTTTCTCTAGGTCCACAAAACACATATGCACCCTCTGGGCGTACTCCCACGATTTCTCAACAATCTGGCGCAGGGCATATATATAGTCAGAGGTGCTTCGACCGGCCGGAAGCCGCACTGCTCTTTTTGTATCTTAAAGTAAGCTATTTCGCGGCACCTCCTTTCTAGCACCTTTGCGTAGACTTTACCTGGAAGACTCAATAACGTTATGCCCATATAATTGGAGCATTCCTTGTGGTCTCCCTTCTTGAATACGGGTACAGTAACTCCCATTCTCCAGTCCTCTGGTGTCTTTCTCGTAGTCATCGCAGTTTGACGGACATGTGTTAGCCGGCACATGCCTTGTTCGCCTAATGCCTTGAGCATCTCAGGGCGGATTTCATCAGTTCCAGTAGCCTTTCCATTTTTCAAGCTTTTCACAGCTTGTGCAATTTCATCTACAGAGATAGTAATCCGTACCCTTCTGCTCTACAGGCGAGTCTTCCTGCGGCTGCGCGGGGTTATGGAGTTCCTCAAAGTACTCTCTCCATCGCTGAAGAGTGTCTTCATTCTTGGTAAGAGGGTGTCCAGATCTTCCTTCAGATCTCTATGACTGTCCTTCGTTTAACCTCTGAACCGGCGAATGGTCTTCCAGAATACCGTTTGCAGCGTAGAAATTCAACTCCAACACCTCACCTATTTTCTCCCAGGAATCAGCTTTTTCTTTCGCCACTGCTTTCGCTGCCGCCTTGCGTGTCTCGACATATCGCACGCGAGTAGAAGGCTGTTTGTTCCAAGCCATTTCTTGAACGCTGCTTTCTTATCTTTAATTACCAGTTGTACCTCTCGTGTCCACCATGAAGATCTTTTCTGACCTCCAGGCGGCAGGCCAACCCGTTTCACTCTACAGCATTTAGCGGAAGCCTCGAGTATGCCCCTCTTAAAGAGCTCCCACTCGGATTCTGCATCAGTGGTCATCTCCAGGATCTGTTCAAACCGTCGTGCGATGTTGTTTGCAAATTTCGCTCTCGTGTCCACCAAGGTAATGTTTCCCATTTGATTCTCCGGTTGCTTCTGCTACCGGATCTTCGTATGGTACTCCATTTTTTACAGCGCAGCGTGCCAACAACAAGGTGATAATCGGTTGATAGCTCTGCGCCTTTCTTAACGTGAACATTCATTACCGAGGTTTTTAAGTCTGGCTGTACGATTATCAAATCGATCACCGACTTCTGGGCACT